AATAAACAGGGTATAATGCAGTGACTCCTGGCTGTCTGCTGGTCACACTGCAGCTGTGTTAGATCACATCGGCCAAAAGAAAAAAAAAAGAAAGGGGCTGGGGATTTAGCTCAGCGGCAAAGCGCCTGCCTGGCAAGTGCAAGGTCGTGAGTTCGGTTCCCGGTACCGGAGAAAAACCAAAAAAAAAAAAAAGATCACATCGGTTTTGCTAGCCCACTGGAGGAGGTGCCTCTGGTCTAAGATATTGTATCCTCAAAGATAACTAAGATTTGGGCGGGGTAGAAACTCAGCTAAATCAAGTAAGAAGGGTAAAATCAGGACAGGGGACATTTCATGCTCCAGCATAGCACTTTGCTGGGAACCATTGAAATTTCAACAGTGCTCTTCTAGATTTGTCTGTAGCCAGGAGTGCTGGTGCATGCCTATGACCCCAGCACTGTGGGAGACTAAAGCAAGCAGATCCCAAGTTCCAGCTTAGCATGTGGAATTTAGCAACACAGAGAGACTCCCATCTCAAAATAAAAAATAAAAATGGAGTGGAGATGTAGCCAGTGCAAAGGTCCTGGGCTCATTTCCAGTACTGGAAAAAAAGTTGGCTGTCATTGGTTAACAGGCACTTTTACCTCTCTAGATGCTACTTTGGGATCTGTGATGTGATACAGTTGCTCTAATATCGTTCCTAGATCTTTGCCCTACAGTAGCCTGTATGGGACAATTCAAAAGCACATGGCTGGACACACCAGCCTCTAATCCCAGCACTCGGAAGCTGGGGCAGAAAGTTTACCACAGATTTGAGGCTTACCTGGGCTACATCTAGAGAGTCTGTCTCAAAAGCAAAACAAAACATAGCAGAAAAGGAATTTAAATTCAAATTATGAGATTTTCTTCACTACCATCCTCCAATCACTTGTTTTTTCAGCACAGAGACAATAGCACACACAACCAGAATAGTTGTACAATCTTGCTGAGCACACAACTAAGACATTTCCTGCCTTCCCGCCTTCCCTATAGATGGGCCTCTGGGATTTAGCTTCCAGCCAATGAAATGTACGTGAGACATGTCCCACCCTTGAGCTGATCTTTGAATCACTCATGTCCCACCTTCCATTCTTTTTTTTTATTTTTAACTTTGAGAAAGAGTCTCATTAAGTCACTAAATTGCCCGGGCGGGGATTGAGCAGTGACCCTCTTGCCTCAGCCTCCCAGAATCTGAGAATCATGGATGTGCACACCACACCTGGCTCTATTATCCATTCTTTTTCCTGCTTCTGTAGTGACTTTGGAGGCCACAAGTTGCAGATAACACTACTTATTATAGGGAAACTCATTGCCTCCTTCCACAATGTAAGGAACAGCAACCGAGAGCTGTGCTCCCACCTCTCAGGGCTTGGACTACATCATCCTGACTAGTGAACTCCTGTGGTGATAAAACTACCAGGATTCGGAGGTGGTTAAACTGCTTTGATTAAATTCCACGTGTTAAGAGATACAAATGTAAACAGCTCACTCATACACATACTAAAAGAAAAAGTGATTTCTTCTGCACTCAGACTCAAAATCCAAAGGCATAAGAAAAAAAGATCGCTGGGCATGGCGACACACAACTATAATATCAGCACTCAGGAAGCTGAGGCAGGAGGATTGCTATGAGTTTGAGGACAGCCTGGGCTACTAAGTGAGCTCAAGAAAAAAGATTAATACATATTATTATAGAAAAATCTATCAAGCAACAATTTTATATAGTGCAAAATGTAAAAGCTAAGTAATCTATAAAGACCAATGACAAGGCCAGGTGTGGGGGCACACACCCATAATCCCAGAATTTGGAGGCTGAGGCAGGAGGATCGCTCTGAATTCAAGACCAGCCTGGACTACATGGTGAGACTCTGTTTCAAAACAAAACAAAACAAAACAATTTAAAGGGGGGGAAATGGGGAAAAAAAAGAATTAGGACATATATGTACAAGTCACCCACATCCATACATAATGTATGTGATCATTAAGTATGACAAATATGTACTAATAAAAATACATTAAAGTAACAAAAATATGTTCATTGTGTTTCTAATTTTCCCTTTCATTGCTGCTAATTTATGTATTCATTTTATAGTCTTTCCCCCAGTACTGGGCATTGAGCCCAGGACCTTTGCACTGACTGAGCTCTTTCCCAGCTGCTCCCACTTCCTTTTTTTTTGAGACAGGGTCTCGCTGTATAGTTAGGCTGACCTTGAGCTCATTGCCCACCCTGTCCTCAGAGTTGCACAATCCTCCTGCCTCAGTCAACTGTATGCTGGGATTATAGGCTTGTGCCACTACACCCAGCTCCAACACCCCCCAACCCAGAGTCTTGCTAAACCGCAAAATCCCCTATTGCTTTGATCACTCTGAAATATCCCACATTCAGGTTGCCATGGACCAGCACGTAGTCCTTTGCAAGGTGAGCAAGGTAAAGATATGCACTCTACAAGTGCTTCTTCAGTAAAATCAGATTAAGTCCCTTTAAAACACCGTGTGTATATTTATTTAAAAATAAATCTCTGATTTACACATCTTTTGGTGAGTTTGACAGTCACTTTAAATTGATTAAAAGTAACAGAAGCTGATTTCTATAATAAAACAGTTTTCATGTTAAAAGAAGTAGAGGAACAACAGTTTCTTTCTGAAGCAGAGAGGTAAAGCGCTTATTCCTGCAGAGAATGAGAGGGAGGAGGTCATTTTCAGGAGGGAATTTTCTGGATTCTTCAGGAGAAAGAATCAGTTCCTACTTTGTCTTCTTGAGGCACAATCTCTGCACAAGAGAAGAGCTGCAGAAATCCTCAGGAGCACTGTTCCCAGCTGAACAGCTCCAATGAAGGAAAATAGCCTTCTAGGTCACTCGACAAAAAATGTTATTTTTACCTGGGGTATCTTTGCTTTGATGCCTGTGTTTACTTCGTGACTACCTCTGACTTCAGGGGGCCGAAGAAGATAGGATTTTTATCATCGCTTATCACTCTCTCTGACTTTTTTTTTTGATGGGGGAGGTGTGTAGGGCCTTGAACCCAAGGCTGTCACACTGAACTATTTTTTCTTTTTCTTTTTTAAGACAGGATCTTACTAAGTCACCAAGTTGACCAGAGTGGGCTCAAACTTGCGATTCTCCTGCCTCAGCTTCCCAGAGTGGTGGGATTACAGTGCTGGGCTACCACATCTAATTCTTACCATTTCTCTGTGTAAAGACATTCTTAATTTTGGAACCACACAAAAACAAGTGTAGGGCCTGGTTTTACCCATGCTCCATATCTTACCAGCTCCTGGTCTAAAAGGAAAGACAGACACCAACAGAGAATCATTCCAACGCATACAGTAACGGACAAGTAGAGGGTGGTGAAGTCCTGGTGTATCCAGGGTCCCATCTAGGTTGGGAAAGAGAGGTGATAAACTGGAATCTAGGCTGAGACCTGAAGGACTAATGGAAATTATGTCATTTTTCCAGCTCTCGGTGCCTTGGAAGTACTTTCAAATAAACTCCTTGGCAATCAACTGGTTTGGGTTCTGTTTTTCTGCTCTGCTGCAGTCCACTGTAACTCTGGGCCTTTGTCTGTGCTTCACAGAACTGGACTCTTTCCTTATGTTGTTTTCATTCAATCTGATCATTTCCCCTACATTTGCAGCACCAGCCTTGCTTTGTTGACTTTATTACTTTATATATTTTTTTATTCATTTTTGGTACTGGGGATCGAACTCAGGACCTTGCTCTTGGCAGGCAGGCACTTGTGCTGCTGAGCTATATCCCCGGCTCCTTAAAGCTCCCCCCACTTTTTTTTTTGGTTCAGTCCTGGGGATTAAACCCAGAGCCTTCACACTAAGCTACATCCCCAGCCCTTTTTTATTTTTAATTTTTTTAGTTTGAGATGGGGGTCTTGCTATGTTGCTAAATTGCCCAGGCTGGGTTTGAATTTGCAGTTCTCCTGCTTCAGCATCCTGGAGCTCTTTCTGAGGTTAAAGGCATGTGTTACAACAGCCCACAGTCCCTTTGTTGTGTGTGTGTGGGTCACGTTCTAGTTATGAACAAAAGCTAATATTTGGAATGGAGAATGATTGTGTTGCAGGGCATGGTGGCGCATGCTTACAATCTCAGCACTTGGGAGGCTGAGGCAGGAGGATCATTGCCAGTTTGAGGCCAGCCTGGGCTACAAAGTGAGTTCAAGTCCATCTTGAACTGCAAAGCAAGACCCTGTCTCAAAAAGACAAAAAAATAAATAAATAAAATAAACAGAGAGAAAGAGAGAGATTGATTGTGTCTTAGTCTCTTTCTATTGTGGAGACACAAGACCTAACACACATAACTTAAAGAAGGAGAGGTTTTTTGGCTCACAGTTTGTAGAGTTTTTGGTCCAGAGTCGGCTCCATGGCCGAGGGGCCTGGCAGAAGAGAAACAGTCCATGGCAGGGCAGGCAGGAAGCAAAGAAAGAGAGATCAAGGAAGGAGATGTAGAAGGAGATTAACCTTTCCAGTGACCCACCTCTTTCACCCAGACCGCACCTCTGTCCGTGCACCATCCTGAGCCCATGATCCAATGACTTTCCCAAAGCCCTGCTTATGAGAGCATGAGGCTTTTGAGAGAGATGGAGCTATGAATCATAGTGGTAAGATGGACCAAGGCAATACAATTGGCAATAATCAGTGGGACATATGTTCATTTATCTCAGTTACGATAGTGTCAGTGTTATTCTATGGAATTCCTTCTCCTTCATTTATTTTTTTTCCTCAGATAGAGTGTTGCTATGTAGTCCAGGCTCAATTTAAACTTACTATGTAGCACAGCTTGGCCTCAAACTCATGGTGATCCTCTTGCCTCAGCCTCCTGAGTGCTGGGATCACAAATATGCATCCCCACACCCAGGTGTTTTCTGACTGCTTGAAGACTGGAGCAGAATTACTGGCCGGGTGGGTGATGAATGGGCTTCCCAGTTAACCTGGGACGGTTACAGTGCCCTTCTGCCCTCTTCTCATGGCAGGACGCACTGCTCCTTGGACGTGAGCACACTTTGGAGAGTCCACTCTTCTGGCCCATAAGGTCACCACTCCCCTGAGCATAGCTGAGCACACCTGGGACTCGCCCTTGGACGCTCCTGCAGTTGGCCTGTATGCTTCCTGCTGTTGTTACTTTGTATCCTTTGAAATTGTGCTTTTATGCTAAAACTGCCATCGTTATTTCAGTCTTCAGATCACGTAGACTAGTTACATGTCGTGGAAATATATGTACCGCAGCAGCAGAGGTCGGTAGCATCCAATAGGAAAGATGCACCTTTACGTGGATTAGCTAAGTGGTCTTTACAACAAAACATACTTTGAAAGTTACTGAAACACAGTGGTTAAAGGCAGCGACTGTATTCTAGGCCACTGGATCCCAAGGCTGACTTGGCCAACTGGTAGTTATGTGACCATAACTTTGCCTTAGTTTTCCTGCCTTACAGTTAGGATAGCTGTAGGGCTAGATCATGATGATTACAGCAGAGAAATAAAAAGTGCCTGGTGCAGAATGCAGTACATGGTACCAGCAATAAACACAACAACTCTCATCCTCACCTAGAGGAACAAGCTGGAGTGCAAAGGATTTCCCTGACTTGCTCACTTTCACTCACGCTGTAAATGGAGCTTAGCATGACGTAGGGTCCTTGTAGTTAACAACTGCACTGTTTTTTCATCGCTGTTACTCTTGTTATTATAATCAGTGGGCTCAGCAACAAGCCAAAGGAAATCCTCAGCAGGCAGAGACCGTGGGAAGTGTGGATAGGGCCACAAAGCAGAATTATTTTTAGTCACCATAAAAAAAAACAGGGAAAAAAATCACTATTAGTATGAGTAACTTTAGATAAAAAGTTATCAAGATCTATAGCTTGTACCTATTTTGCTTTTTTAAAATTTTTTTTTTCTTTTTGAGACTGGGTTTTGCTATGTAGTTTAGGTTTGCCTTGAACTCACATAGCCTAGGCTTCTCTCTAACTCTTGGCATTCCTCCTGTCTCAGCCTCCTGAGCACTGGGATCACAGGTATGTGCTACTGCTCCTGTCTAGCCTGCACATTTTTAACCCAGAAATTAATCAGTCTACCTCTCCTACCTTGTATCTTGAGAATAGCTGATTCAAATAGACTCATACTGAATTTTGTCATGAGAACTAGTTACTGGTGTGAGCACAGCTTAAACGTAACAGTGTAAAACAACAGTAAACACTTCCTTGTTTAACTCTAAGCTCTTATGCTATGGGTTTCTGACTTTAGTTTATGTTTAAATATACTGCAGGTCCTGAATTCTGGAATTTGTGTGCAGCAGAGAGGGCATGTAAGTTTCAGCAAATGTGTCTTGGGAGAGTGGTTATGACTGTCATTAGATTCTCATAGGAGTCTATAACCCAGAAAAGTTTACAAACCCCTGGTTTAAGCCAAGTGCTTTCCTTCCAGCCCGGGGACAAGGGCCGTTCTCCAGAAAACCCAGCGAGACATTTCACTGCACGAGGGTCCCATCTTCATCCTGCTTCCCGAAGTTATTCCTAAACCTGCTCAATGGGGGTGCCGAGGCGAGAGGATCCCTACTACCTGAAAATCTACTAAACAATTTTGGTCACCAATTTCTACTTTACTAGAGTAAGAGTATCAATATAGTACATTATAAAGCAAAGGGTTAGGTACCAGCAAGGAACTAACTCCAAGATTTTCCTATCCTTCTCCTAGGCATCCAGAGACGCAATGAGCAGGTCTGGCATGAGTTGCCTGTATATCTCCAGGCACAGAACTTTGATTAGGGCATACACCAACCTCTGAGGCTACAGCCAAAGGAAATCATGATTCTGTTGACAAAAGAAGAAGATAGGAACCCTGGAAGGCCCCAGGCATTTACAAAGATAACCCTCATCGCCTCCTCAGATTGTTCAGGATAAAGGAAACAGCATGTCTAAAGTATATTTTATGTGAGTTGAGTGTGGTGGCACAAACACTCCTGTAATCTCAGCACTCAGGAGGCTGAGACAGGAGGATTGCTTTGGGTTTGACACTAGCCTGGGCTTCACAGCAAGCTCAAGATCAGCCTGAACTATACAGTGAGACCCTGTCTCAAAAAAACCAAAAGTAAAACAAAAAATACGTAAATAATAAAATAAGACATAAATTACAAAGATGTTCAGTTTAAAATAGTGGCAGATAGAAGCCTCAGTCAGCTCTCTTGTAACTTGTAGAAATAAATAAAAATACACTACCAAATGGGGGTGGCAGGGCGGGGTGGAGATTTCATTTTGTTTGGATCCAAAGCATAGCTAAAATTTGTTGCCTGAGTCAGGAACTACTGCAGTGGAGCTAAATAACCAGGATTTATCACACCCAGTGCTTGCCCCATGCCCAAAGATCCACACTAGTAGAAGGCAGGACCCCTGCCTCCCTTCCGGACTAACAATGTCACCCCCTCCATCCTCCAAAACAACTTTGGGCCAGTTCGCTACATTTTGTTACATTGTTTGCTGCATAAATGGGGCACTTTAAGGTGGAGGGGGAGCTCAGAAAAAATACTTGAAGCCCTACACATTGAAATAACTGATTTTCTTTCAGTTCACCAGTTTACAGCACCAGAGAATCCACCTGTGGGGCAGAAGAAAAGTGGAGACACCAAAATCCAGGACTTAGAGAGCAATAACCAGTCCGTACTCCAACTACAGATCAATAAAGGTGACCTGACCAACACGCTCAAGAAGGCAAGTGGACCAATAACCACTTGGTTTCGTTAGCATTTACTGCGTCTGAGAAATTCTCCATTCGGTGTGTGTAAGAGGACAGAAATATAAATAATACAGAAGCTGGGTGCGTGGCACGTGCCCCTAATTCTAGCACTCTGGGAGGCTGAGGCAGGAGGACTGTAAGCTGGAGTGCTGCTAAGGCAACTTGACAAGAGTCTCTTTCAAAATAAAAAAATTATGAAAAGGGCTAAGAGTGTAGCTCAGTGACAGAGCACCCCTTGGGTTTGGTCCTCGGGTAATCCAGCAGAACTGGAGGCAGAGCACACCTCTGAGAAGGACCTACTGAGTGATCCACAGGTTATTTTAGGACATGGCTTGGCACCGTGCAAGCTTCACACACTGACACCCAGGGCAGTCTGTGCTGCCTGCTCTGCTGCCTGTGACCGCTCTGCGGGTTCTCACTGTGGTTCTTGGGCTCGTGCGTTAGGACCCCTGTGTCACCCATTTGCAGCCGTCCTTACCCCAGGCTCTGTGGAGGGTTTTACTGAGCTGATGACCAGCACCCCTCAGTGGCACCGTATGCCAGCCCTGGCTTTCCCGCTTCTCTCCACTGCTCCGTCACTCCAAGTTCCAAGTCTTCTCAGACTTTTAATCTGGCTCCCAGCGGCTTCCCCTCCTGGCTGCTGGTGGCCTAATAGCCTTTCTTTCCCCCATGGCTCTACTTCATAGTCCTGCTCCAAAGCAGATGCCCTGGCTCCTTCCACAGCGAACGCTGCCAGTTTTGTGGCATTTTCTTGCTGCTTTTGGCTGTAACTCTCCACTTTCCGGGCCGACTGTAAGACACCATGTGGGACAGCTCCGAGGGGAGGGTGCAGCGGGGAGGGAAGGGGAAGTTGCGTAGAGGATGCAAAGTGATGTTGGATTTATTGTAAAGGCCTAAGCAAGGGTTTTCAATCAGCTTGGTTTTCACATACTTCGGTGTCAGTGGGTGACAGGGAACACATCCCTGCCGGGGGGTGGGGGGCATGGGAAGGGGGATGGTCGGCGGAGCCTGACCTTGTGAGGGCTGAAATGTGAGGGGCTTGCTCCTGGCCAGAGTTCTGCCTTTCATCTCTGCTCCTGCGTGTGCTCTGCTTACCTTCCAGTTGGGGGCAATCTGCCATCTCCCTGCACTTCACCTCCAGGTGTTCCCAGCAGTGCCCATACCGTGCGCTGAATTTCTACTTAGAAGAGGGACCATTTTACTCTTTTAAAAACTTTTTTGTCTTTTTGAGACAAGGTCTCGCTGTGCAGTTCAGGCTGGCCTTGAGCTCACTTTGTAGCCCAGGCTGGCCTCCAACTTGCAAGCATCCTCCTGTCTCAGCCTCCCGAGTGCTAGGATTACAGGTGTGAGCTACAATGCTCAGATTTAGAAGAGGGACCATTTTACTCTTACCATAGCTGTAACATCTTTGAATAAGCTCTGTTCTGTGTCCTGTCCTCTATACCTTATCCAGGCAGGCAATTGTCTCTTCCATGAAAGGCAGTGCCCAGTAGGCAGGTCTGCAGTTTGTAAAAAGTGCACAGCCCTGGCCCATGGGAACTCTGAGGAATGATGGAGCCCACCACTGACTCTTTATGGGCAGCAAAGTGAGTGAGAGCACAGGGGGACATCATGGATGGCCACAGGGACAGGCAAGACAAAGACACTTCATGCCGGTCGATAGGCCGCTTTTCTGGGCCACACGTCTATACCGCTGATTTGTGAGTGGAGACAATTTTGCCCCTCAGCAGTCATTCGGTGGTGTCTGGAGACACTTCCATTTGCCAGAACGAGGAAGGGGTACGTTACTGCATAGAGGCCAGTAATGCAGCCAGCACCCTACAGGACGTAGGACAGACCTCCATAAAGAATTATCTGTCAAGGCGTACCAGCTTCCCATGATTAACATAACGATTATGTACTGCAAATAAGGACTGACCAAGTCAAAACAAAACAGAACTAAAAACACACAGAATTATCCAAACTCAAGTGTGATCAACAGCAATGTTGGCATCCTCTGTACCTGCAGTTGTTTATAGACATGGCTAGGTCTTGAGAGATTTTTTTTTTTTTTTGGTACCAGGAATCGAACTCATGACCTCAGGCTTGCCAGGCAAGCGCTTATGCTGCTGAGCTACATCCCTGGCCCCAGTCTTGAGAGATTTTGACCGGGAGACAGTCCTGCCAATTCGTTGGAAGACTTACTGCATATTATCTATGAGTTAAATCACATATCATTCATCCTGTGACTGTCAAACCCAAATCAGTTCTATAAGGGAAGCCCTGAGTCCTGTATCTCCTCAGTGTTATTGTACGTTCCTGACTTTCTTTTCTAACACTTCCTGAAGCCTGCAGTGACTCCCCCAGAGCCTAAGGCACCTCCTACATTGCATTCTAGCTCAGATCTGAACTGGAAAGTGCTGAGGTCTGGACGTGTTTGGAGTTTGTCCTCCAGCAGCTCGTGTTCTGGAACCTGGTCCCGGTGCAGTGAGATCGGGAGTGGCAGATCTCTCAGAGCCGTGCTGTAGTTTGGATCTTCAGTCCCCCAAAGGTCTGAGGGGTGAGAGTCTCCCAGGCAGTGCTGCTGGGAGGGGGCTGGGCCTTTTTGAGGTGGGGGTCTTTGGGCACAGGGCACGGGCCCTCAAAGGGACTGCGGGACCCCTGTCTGTTCATGTTTGTGCTGGACCACAAGGTGAGAGCTTTGCCCCATGGTGTGCTCCTGCCTCATCTTCCTCTACAGGTGTGAAACGATGGGGCCAGCAACCGTGGACTGAACCATCTACCACTGAGAGCCAAGACAAAGTGTTGGTGTTTATGAGATGATGAACTCAGGTGTTTGTTACAGGGGCAGAAGCGACTAACCCCGGCCTATGGGGAAGTGGTATCATCATGGGCTCACAAGCCTGGAAAAGCATTCATATAGTTCTCTCAGGACCATTCTTTTACGTTTCTCTACCATGTGGTGATGTAGCAGGATGGGAGTGAGGGTCTTGCTAAGTGCTGGCTCTATGATGTTGAGATTTTACAGCCACTAGAGTCATGCACCACTAAACCTGTGTGCGTGTGTGTGCATGTGTACTGTCGATTGGGCCAACAGCCTCACACGGACCTACATCCCCAGCCCTTTTTTATTTTTATTTTGAGACCAGTTCTTACCCATTCCCTAAACTTTCTAGGCTATTTTCAAATTTGGGATCCTCCTGTCTCAGCCTCCCAGAGTGCTGCAATTGCAGGTGTGTGCCACCACACCTGGCTATCTACTTACTTTGAAAAATGTCCTGCCTCAGATATTTTGCTATAAACATGAATACTTTTTTGTTGTTGTTGTTGTTGGTTGTTTTCTGGTACGGGAATCGAACTCACCACCTTGCACTTGCCAGGCAGGTGCGGTGCCACTGAGCTAAATCCCCAGCCCCCAAGGCTCAGATATTTTGTTATTGCAACACAAAACATACCAAGACAGAAAGTGAAAAAAAGGAAAGGAGAAATGTATATGTAGTTCCTAATTTGGTAATCCCCTTGGTGCCCCATGCTGCGCTCCCACTTCCCATCCTGTCTCCATCCGGCGGCCCTCACGCCTCACCTCTGCCCACTGCTCCTCAATCCTGTGTCCTGCAAAGTGGGTAGAACTCCTCCAAAGGTGGAGAAGAGAAAGCCGTCCTTTCAAGGAGACAGCTCATGTTATTGTGAGTAAATCCGCCACCATCTCAACTACGGAAAGGTCATTGCTGAGTATTACTGTGATTTCACTGCCTTGGCGTTTAGAATACCATAGTATTTTCCTGTTGTCATCTCTAGTTCTTAATTAAACAAAAATGCAAAAGATTAGGAGGAATGGTGTTTATAAATCCCATTGGGACAAATAAAAAGGTGCAATTTGGGAAATAAGCTTCTTTACAATGTTTTTTAATCATTTCTACAAATAGGCTTAATTTTTTATGGTATCACCGAAGAAGTTAGGGGGTAGGAGATTTGCCTTGAGTCCATGAAGATCTACCTATTAGGTACCCAGTGAATGATGGATGACTGACTGAAGCATCATGCCGCAGGTTCTCCTTCAGCCAGGACTCAGTTGACCCTGTGACATGGGACAAGATCTCATGTGCTCTCTGGAACTTAGTTTCCCTTTATTTATTCATTTGTGTCCAAGGATTTCCTATGTTAATACTTATGATAATGATGATATGGGAGCGGTAACTTACAGGTGTGAATTTCTATTGAAATTGTCCTTTTTAACTCTAATTTGAGGAGAAGCCAAGTAGCTCCACTGAATGATAAGTTGTCCTGTGTATTTTTGGTAGGGTGTAGTGTCCTAGGACTCACAGCCTCTTGCCCTCGGTCCACCCCAAATTCCATTCATCCCATCCATAACATCCTCTCCAACCCATGTACCTGGCGTGTTAATGCTTAACACGTACCAAATGAATGAAGTAAGTCTCTATGGTACCTAGACAAAACATGAAATTAATTTACATGTACAGAAGCACTGCAATCATTATAGTCATTATTTCACATTTTAGTACTCAAGATAAATCTGTTCCCTGCTGATAAATAATAACTAAATTGAGACAGTGGACTATAACAGGAATAACATCCGATGTGGAGTTTAGAAATATGCTCCTGTGATTCCATCACCCAGCTCTATGTCTGTGGACAAACCATTTTGCTTTGTACCTTAATTTTATCATCTATAAAGTGAGTGTTGAGGGAGATATCCTAAAAAATTTCCACAGAGATTTTCAGACCCAAAGTTAAGAATGTTGTGACTTTGTTCGCTTGAAGACAGGGTTTCACCACGTAGCCAGGATGGCCTTGAAGCCATGGTCCTCCTGCCTCAGCCTCCTGAGTTCTGGGATTAGAGGCATTCAGCACTACACCCTACTAAAAATACTATCACTCTGTACTTGAAGGACAAACTTCATAGAGATATGACTGATATTTATAATAATGGCTTTGGGCAGGAGAGAAATGAACAAACCCTCAATTACAT